CATGAACATCAGCACCATCATCATCGTCATCAACATCACCTTCATTATCAGGAACATCTCCATCGTAAGAACATCCGATTCATCATCATCATCATCATCAGCATCATCAGCCAAATCGTCATCATCATGAACATCATCATCATCATTATCGTCATCATCCTCATCCTTAGGTACATCGTCATCCGAATCATCATCATCGCTTTCATTATCATCATCCGAATCATCATAAACGTCTTCATCCTCATCCCAATGGTCATCATAATCATCATGATTCTCATAATTATCTTCACCATCATCATCATCATCAGCATCATCCTTATCACCATCAGCATGAACAGCAACATCAACATCGTCTTGATCATCAACATAATCGTTATCCAAATTATCATCATCATTCTCCACCTCCACCAGCTCAACATCATCATCAACGCCGTCTACATCATCACCAACATCATAGTCATCATCATCATCAAACTAATCATCATCCGAATTAGCATCATCACCGTGATCATCCGAAACGTCATCATCCTCCTCCTCCTCATCATCATCAGCAACACTATCATCATCGTTATCTGATTCATCATAATCATCAACGTCTTCATCATCATCTGCGTCATAATCATCATCATGAGCAACATTTCATCATCATCATCCGACTCATGAAAGACATCGTCAGCATCATCATCATCATCATCAACATCTTCAAAATCATCATTACCATCTACATCGTAATAACATAGTCAACATCATCAACATCATCATCATCGTTACCATCATCATCCCAATGATCCTCCACATCATCGTTACATCACTATCATCATCATCGGAATGAGCACCAGCCGAATCATCATCATCATCGTCATCATCATCTTCATCATCAGCATCATCAGAAGCATCATCACCATCATCATCGTCATCAGCCTAATCATCACCTTCGGACTCATCATCATCATCGTCATCGTCATCATCATCCGAATCATCGTGATCATCATCATCTTCATCGTCATCATCATCATCCGATTCATCATCATCATCATCGTCTTCATCATGATCAAAGTCATCATCATCATGAGCAACATTTCATCATCATCATCATGACTTTCCGAATCATCATCTCCATCGACATCATCTTGATA